AGCAGCGATAATTTCCAATGTGAAAAAGAGAAAGAGTATAAATTACAAAGCATGAAATTTTTTTGACGTGGCGTGACATGGTGCTAACGCGGCGCGCGTAAAAAGCACCTTATATTGTGAAACTTGTATTAATGTTTCAGGGAGGAAAACAATTTACTCCAAATATGTTTAGGGGTAAAGAAACTCCCGTTGAGTTTAAGTGTTTAACCCAATTTTTTGGACAAGTTCTGGGGGATTTTATGTATTTTCCCTTAACTTTATGTTGTATTTTTAAGAGGGATATTAACGTAAAAAATAATCGTGTTATGACAAAACAACCTAAACTGATGAAAGAAACATATACCATGAATAATTCATAGGAAAGTATTAGATGAGATACATTTAATTTTATGTTTGCACATCATAAAATCAAGTATAATTATCACGTGTATCTAATTAAATAATAATTTTTCATTTTTGTAGATGCAGACAATCAATCATGACCTCGACAAATAAGTTTACATGTGGCAATCCACACTGCTCATTCATAGGGACTTTTACGTTATTCTTTTTATAGTTATTTACTCAAAAAGCTTTTTTTAAATAATATTGATTTTCTTTTACAATAACATGTATTACAAAACTTCGCGTACCAAGTACAACGCATGTGGTAAGAGACTAGTTAGAAATTAGCTATCATCTCAAAAGTTATTACCAGCGTAGGATAACATTATAAGATTTTGGTCCTTTTATGTTGGTTTTTGGGATAGAATTAATGATTATCAAGGGCATTCCTATTTTGGGAATTTTTTGGATTTATGAATGACGAACAATTGCAAAAGCATTTTCTAATGTTGTTTTCATAAATTAAGAACGAAAATTGGGGGCTTGAAGACGATCAGATACCGTCCTAATCTCAACCAATTGTAACATTTAGCCGCTTTGTAATCAGTTGGACAAAAATACCCCTAAACTAAACACAAAAACCTCTGTTTCTTTTCTCGACTGTCAATTCTCATACCCAGGGACAATGGAGTTTTGTATTGTTATAGAAAGAATTTCATATCCATCCTGAATGCAATTAATTGAGGCAACATTCACCGTTTCTTGATCCAATCTTAGGAGTGTTTCCTGCACAATACCTATCGAAGTTTTATTTTTAGCATATCAATTAATAAAACTCATAGGGAAACTAATGATTTGATAGAACAAGTACCCACATGAAGAATAAACGAATTGGCCATTGATTAGAAGCTTCGTGTAATTAAATTGGACAGGTGTGGAGTAATTAATTCCTCAACTGCTGCAGCGGTACTATACCTGTTGACGTACTTTGGTTCCTTCCTGATTATTTTCATTAATTAAACAAAAAAAAAGCTAATTAAAAACTGAAGGAAAGAGTCTTTGAGTTCGTGATTCTACCATTCGGAACTCAAGGATAGTGTCATGGAGGTTGTAGTTCTATAATTGGGAATTCGAGGATAGCATCATGAAATTTGTGGTTCTACAATTAGGAGCTCAAAGATATTGTCAAGGAATTTGTGTTTCCACAATTAAGAACTCAAGGATAGTGTCATGGAGTTTGTAATTGAGCATTCATATTAATTATCAAACTTGCCGAAACAGTAGATGAAGTATATTATACACGTACTTTCCTAATAATAAATAGTCGATCAAGCAAGAGGCATTTATATTATTGTAACGACCCGGCCGGTCGTTTTATGAATTTCAGGCCCGTTTTCCCCATTCTGCTTCCTTATGTGTTGTTCAGCTATATTTCATCATATCGTGTTGGTTGGTTCGGGTTCAGAGTGGTTTTGGAGAGAAATGAGACACTTAGTCTCTTTTAAGTAAGCTTAAGTTGGAAAAATCAACCTGATGCTAACTTATGCGTAGAAGGTCTCGGATGTGAATTCTGATGGTTCGGATAACTCCGTTAGGTAATTTTGGACTTAGGAGCGTATTCGGAATGTAATTTGGAGGTCCATGGAAGAATTAGGCTTGAATTGGCGAAATTGAAAATTTGAAGTTTTCGGTCGGCAGTGAAAATCTTGATATCGGGGTCGAAATGGAATTTCGAAAATTGGAGTAGGTCCGTAGTGTCATTTGTGACGTGTGTGCAAAATTTCAGGTAATTCGGAGGTGATTTGATAGGTTTCGGCGTTGTTTATGGAATTTGAAAGTTTCTAAGTTCTTAGGCTTGAATCCGAGGTTGATTTGGTGTTTTGGTGTTGTTTTGAGTGATTCGAAGGCTCGACTAAGTTGGAATGATGTTATGGGATGTGTTGGCATGTTTTGTTGAGGTCCCGAGGGCCTCGGGTGAGTTTCAGGTGGTTAATGGACCAATTCTTGGTTTTGAGAGTTTGCAGATTTTGCTGGTTTTCTGTTGCAGAAGGTTTGTTCATCACATTCGCGGACAGTGTCTCGTGTTTGCGAAGAGTGTTTTCTTACATGGTGAATTTTGCTCTTCGCGTTCGCGAAAGAGATGACGCGAACGCGAACGGTAGGGCAGTGTGTGCATCGCGAACGCATGAGTGGGGTCGCCTTCGCAAAGAGGAGTGAGGCAGTTGGGGACCCCAGGTCCTTAGTCTACGCGTTCGCGAGAAGAGGGTCGTGTTCGCGAAGGTTTGAGTTGGTAAAGCATCGCGTTCGCGAAGAGTAAAGCGGAGAGGCAGTCTGAGTTGGTCTACGCGTTCGCGGAGAAGGAAATCTGGGCAGACAGTATTAATTTCAAAAACGAGGGTTTGAGTCCATAATTTCAAATTTTCATTAGAGAGCTCGGGAGAAGGCGATTTTGGAGGGATGTTTAGAGGATTGATTGAGGTAAGTGTTCTTCACTCAAATTTGGTTAAATTCCATGATTATGTCTTGATTTTTATTATTTAATTTGGGAATTTGGGGTGAAAATTTGTGAAAAAGTTTGGAGAGTAGATTTTAGGGATTTGGATGACCATTTGACGTCGGATTTTGGTGAATTTGATATGGGTAAACTCGTGAGTGAATGGGTTTTCTAGTTTTGTGATTTTTATCAGATTCTGAGACGTGGGCCCGGGGCCGGGTTTGAGCCAAATTCAGGATTTTTTGTCTAATTTGATAATTTTCGTATGGGTTTCATTCCTTTAGCGTATGATAATATACTAATTTTGGTTAAATTCAGAGCATTTGGAGGCCGAATCGAGAGGCAAGGGCATCGCGGGCTAGAGTTTTGGCTTGGTTTGAGGAAAGTAACGCTTCCAAACTTGGTTCTGAGGGTTCGAAACCCCGAACTATGTGTTCTATGATTACTATTGAGGTGACGCAAATACCAAGTTACGGGCGTGTGGGCGTGCACCGTGAGAATCGCGGCCTGGATCATTCCATGGCACCGCTTAGAGACTCTTTCTTGCTGATATCTGTGTTGTGATTATGTGATTAAGTTAATGAGCTGTAAATCATGCTAGTTATCATGTTAAGGCTTCACGTCGATACTGTTGAGACCCGAGAGGTCGTTTCTTACTGTCATATCATTAAATTCATTGATATTCTATACTCAGTCATGTTTATGCATATTATATCATGTCTCAGTCTCGATTATTATTATTTGGCACATCATATTATTGTTTCGGGCTAGTATCATGGCATTTTGAGCCCCCGTGTGTGAGACTGGAGAGTGAGGACTGAGTGAGGCCGAGAGCCTGATATTGAGTGACAGTATGGGATCGGGCTGCACGCCGCAGCGGGATATTGATTATACCTTCGTTGGCTTGTTGTAGTGTTTGGGCTAAAAGGAGCCCCTCCGGAGTCTATACACCTCCAATGAGCGCAGTTGATATTATTGAAGGATAGATCTTCTCTGGACATGGATCTTGTCCGAAGTATTTATACCTGGAGATGGATCTTCTCCATAGGGCTGGAATGACTTCCCTAGGTACTGGATGATTGCGGTCAGTGATGTATATATATTCCGGGATGGATCTTCCCTGGGCCGGATGGCCATATACAGTACCGAGTAGTTGAGCACTTGAGAGTGGAGGTACATGGTACACTTTTCATGTTTTCTGTGCATTGGTACATAGGGATATACTGAGGTTTATACTCCACACTGTTCTGATTGTATTTATTTACTGTTGAGTTGAATACTTGAACTGCAAGCATGCCTACTTTACTATTACATTTAATTGTGATTATAACTGCTGATGTTTAGTTCGTCACTACCTGTCAGTCCATAGTTTGGACTTGTTACTTACTGAGTTGGTGTACTCATGTTACCCCCTGCACCTTGTGTGCAGATCCAGGTATCTCAGGACACGGTAGCGGCTGTTCACTATTCCAGTCGTGGACTTCACGGAGATAGTGAGGTAGTTGCTTGGCGATCGCAATTCCGCTTTTCTCCTTCTCTATCTTCCTATTAGTACATTGTTGTTATTTCCAGACTATTTTGGTCTTGTCTTGGAACTATTGTAGCATTGCTCATGACTTAGTGACACCCGAGGTCGGGCTTGTATTTTCCGCTTTGTTTGATTTTGACTTTATATCTTTTATCGGATTTCAGTTGAAAAATAGTTTTACTTAAGTTTTAAATGAAATGTGGATTATTTTGAAAATGTGTCAGCTGGCCTAGTTTCACGATAGGCGTCATCACGACCGAGTCGGTTTTGGGTTCATGACAATTATAATTTCTTTTCCAACTGTTGGTCTGATCATCCGTTTCTAATGGAAATAGAAACTTTTTGATCTGATCATCCAAAAGTGACTAGCCTGCCTAATTTGTAATTACCAAATCTCCATACAACATCCAAAAAGAAGAACCAGAAACCAATAGGCACTAGTTAAGCAAAGGACTAAATAAACACTAGCACGTAATGCCTGAGCGGAGACGGAAAATTGCAGGTTTGTGCTACGCTTTGAAACTTTTTCTAAGTAATTAATATAACACCCCCCCCCCCCGATCTTTTCTTGTTAATATTGCAAAATGTGGGTGAAAATGGAATATGTAACATTACACATTTTTGCATGAACCAGTTTTGAATCTCATTTTCGAATATTTTTCCACCTTTTGCCAAGTGCAGTAATTTGGAAGGTGCAATCATACATACATCACTTAAAAGGGCAAATTATAATAAGTGTATTACTACATTTGGATCCTAGAAAAACCTTACTAAGCCAACTGTATGGGTGAAAAGAATATTAAGGTACAAAAACACAATAGTATTTCAAACTCATTATCTATGACAGGTTGAAGCGCCAATAGATTTAAGCTTCAATTACCATATACATGAGCAGTGAGATATCTCTTGCATTCTTCCCGCAGTAATCCACTTCTACATGTATCCGCCAAATGATTGCACGGAATGTCAGGATGATGAGCCAATTCAATGGAGTTGTGTTGCTTTGGTAATAATGATATTGCTTCTCAATCTTCCTCATCAGAATTGTCAAATTTTATTTTTGTAGCCTTTGGAGCATTTGCATCTATTTCTCTAAAATGAGCACCATAGAGCTTCGATTCCTGCAAACAGCAACTCAACAATGTTGTACAAAGAATATGTGCACTAGAGAATTAGCAATACAAAAAGATTTAGTTGACCAGTTACTATTCGCATGTATCAGCAAACTATGTTTTTTGTTATTATCATTTGTTCATCACTTTTCACATAGCAAATGCCAGCAAGAAGATAACCGAACACAAATGTTATTCAGTGACATTGTATTCTTCCGGAGGTGATAGTAAACGATAATAACATAAGATCCAGGGCTTCCTGCCCAAGGTCGATAACACACCATCCTCCTCTTCTCTTTATTAGATCAGGAACTAGCCTATTCCTATGTTCAGTTCCTCATTTAATTGGGAAAGGGGCTGATCTTGATGGTTCTCTAGTTCATCTACTGTAACAACCTAGACTGTAGACATTGTAACAGTCCAGCCCGCTAGTGATATTGTCCGCTCTGGGTCTAGGCCCTCACGGGTTTAAAATGCGTCACTAAGATCTAAGGCTTGCTAACTTATATACTCAGCATCCCTCTTGTGTTTTGCCGATGTGGGACTATGTCTATAGTCTAGGGTGTTACATCTACAACTACACTGCTTGTCGCCCTTCCACTCCCTGGAAAAAGTTCCTTCAAAATAGATTCATTTTCCAGTCATCAAAGTGCAGAAACCTCCATAAGCCCCCTTAGAGAGCCCCTGCTCTTTCTTGGCTCAATCCAAGTACACACCTAAGATGTTTAAAGTAGATTGTCCAATATAAATCCATTCTCTTAAAAATTCTCAACCCTACAAGCCCCCCACAAGGAGAACAAGGTTCGAACCCCAGGAGACTGACACTAGATGAATTTTTCCCATCTCTCTCAGCCATGGAAGAAGAGTTACCCAATACTTCTCTAAAAAAAATTTTAAAAAAAAAAGGTGTTACCCAATACTTGTATACAATACTGTCAGGATTGCATAACTAACAACGCAAGAAACACAAGACGCTCCATCAAAGTGAGGAAACAATTGAAGGGACAGAATTACCAAGTGAACCACAGGAAAACGAAACGGAGCGAATTTGGGAGAACACACTTGCATCCAAATCCCCAAGCATCATACTTAATGAAGAGCCTCTGCCATATCAAATAGTTTCAGGCGCCTTCACCATGACTTTTTTTCTTCTTTATCTTTTTTTTGTTTTTTTTTTCTTTTTGGACAAGTCACCTCGAGCATGTTTTTTTTTTTTTTTTCTTTTTGGGCAAGTCACCTTCAGCATGACTGCTATGACCCTTCACCCCGAAACCCTTTCTAGCGTGTATCCTTATCAATAAAATATAGTTTATTCCAACACTAGAACATGTCAACTTTCTCATCTGAAATCTTCAACCCCTACAGGAAGAACAAAGTACTTTCCTACAACCGTCCCCATAGCACTAACATACTCAGCCACATGAAGTTTGCATCATCTCTGTCTATGCTCAAGAAGAAGACAACCATGGTCAAAGCCCTCTTAAGCCATGGCCACGAAATCCAACCAAAGGTGCTAATAGTGGAAGAAAAGCTACAACTTGAGGCCCTAGCGTCGCACCAGACCAGCATGTCCCTATGAACCTGGCCTAAAGCTCCATGAGCAGGTACTGCAAAGCAACTTAGCAATGCACTTTCATTTGTGATGGCTATCCATAAGCACAAACAGTCAATGATACCATTAGGTAAATGGCGACGCTACTCACAATATACAAACAAAAATCTTACCTTTTTCTTTACATGGGTTCCAAAATTAAGAAGGGCAGCTGGCACAACCTGTCCAGCCTCTCTGAGAACATTTATCAACTCCCCAGAAAGTCCCTATGAAATACAAGCTCAATAATAATCAAAATAGAAAAGTAGTGGAGAAAACAGTACAAAAATAAAGGTCAGACTTCTGTTATAGAAAATCAATGAAACACTACCTTGTTGTCCTTAGTGAAGAATGTATGAGCTACACCTTTTTTACCAGCTCGCCCAGTTCTTCCAATTCTATGAACATAATCCTCTGTTGTCAAAGGAAAACTATAATTTATCACAACTTCAACATCTGGGATATCCAGACCTCGAGCAGCTACATCAGTAGCTATCTGCAGAACATAACAATTATGTTTCAGTCTTCAGAACATTTCAACATTCGCCAAGAACCAAGTAAACACTGAGCTCATGAGCAGTCGGTCCAAATTATGATTTCTAGCAACATAACTAGAAGTCACAGAAGTTTCAGGAAGAGGATCATGCAGGAATGAGGAAGAAATGATATATAGCAAGATATTTTGATGGATAAACAATATTATGCATCCTCTTCTTTTGGGATGGAAGAGAATTGGCCAGAACCCAGTTATCCCAAAGGTTCAGACGTTCAGTAGGAGAACGCCAGCTGGTATATCAAACTACTGTGGAGCCCTTGCATTATCAAACGGTTATCAATTAACGAATAGGTGAAAAATCAGACCAACAACAGCAATTTCATGAGGAAGCATGCTCCAAACGATGAGGCAGTATATTTGTCTGGATGAAGATTTTGGCAAGAAATTGGTCATCTAGATCTAAACTCTGACTCTAATGCAGAGGCAGATAGTAGATAAACATAAGGTGAGACGTGTAGAAAATATTGACAGATGTGGAGTATCATCATGCATCATAGGATCACTCAGATAAACATCACAACAACAACAACAACCCAGTATAATCCCAGTTAGTGGGGTCTGGGGAGGGTAGTGTGTACGCNACAACAACAACAACAACAACCACCCAGTATAATCCCACTTAGTGGGGTTTGGGGAGGGTAGTGTGTAGAGAGGTTATTTTCAAATAGACCCCCAGCATCCTTCCCTCCAAGAACTTCCCACCTTGCTCTTGGGGAGACTCGAACNACCTCCAAGAACTTTCCACCTTGCTCTTGGGGAGACTCGAACTCACAGCCTCTTGGTTGGAAGTGGAGGTTACTTACCATCAGAGCAACTCCTCTTGTCTTATAAACATCACAATAGATCAGATATCAAATGTAACAATGGAAATAGTTCAAACCTTCAAGAGATCTTGGGTCAATATAGGTGATAATGAAGAGAAAGCAAGCAATCTAACCACGGCATTAAAAAAATAAACTTATAAAAGGATGAAGGGGCAAACCTACCATCAGAATTAAGGAGGGAGTAAACTGATGTAAATATGGATAACAAAAAAGAAAACTAAAAATACAGCAATTGTTCTTCCTAACCTTTGATTAAGAATTTGTATCAATGGTTTTAGTTAAGAGCATCAAACACATCTAAGGGTTCTTTTTGACTTAAAGCTCATTTTCTTCGGTTTCTTATTGCTTGATTAGTAGGTCATATATGATTGCATCCTCTAAAGATGCTCCGTAGTTCTCTACCTATCAATTGATAATAGGGAAGAAGTGTGTACCATTAAAGGACAGCTTCCATCCTTAAAGAGTGACAACGCCTTAGTACGAGCATGTTGTTGCTTGTCACCGCTAATGGACACAACTTTCCAACCCCTGAAGCAAAGACACATTAAAGATTCAAAAAAGATGTAATCTAGACACATCTATACAGCACAATACGATGAGCATGGATTATATTACATGCATCAATTTTTGCAAGTGTCAAACTATTTCATGCATGTACTATCAGCAGGCGATTTGAAGCTAGGCATAGGAACTTAATATCTTTCTCATAATCAAACAGAAGATGAATGGAATGACCTTTTCTGTAGCATAATTTCAACCCGAGATGCTTCCTTCTTGTACAAAACAAAAACCAATACTCTGTTCCTGCTCAAAGTTGACAACTTTTTGTAAGCATCCATTTTAATGAGTTAGAAAATATAATACCCAGGTTAACTGCCAAAACAGATACAAGTGATGCAACCACTAGCAAAAATATACTGATGATAGAGAACTGTATAACAAACCAAACCCACGAAGAAAAATAGTGTCAGACGAATTCTGTTTGAGTAATTAAGAAACTTTATTACCATTTGGAAGTAGTATGTGCAGTTCATAAAATGAAAAATCCTACCACTGGACATGAGGCCCCAGTGATAGAGTGAACTAACGGCTACTACTTCATCGCAGGTCTCCATACTACATATGCTCCTCAATTAGGATAGAAATTTACTCTTGGCTAGCTTAGATCTCAGACAGCCCCTAAAGAACACATCTTGAATAATCAGCTTCACCATTGTTAAGTGTCAGACAAATTCAGACTGAAGAACTAGAGGAAAATGATACAATGAAAATCTTAGTAAAATAAAACGAATTCATCAAAAAAAATTAGAAGAGAGGGAGAAGAAGAGGGGGGGGGGGATACACTTTTCCTTG